ACACACACACACACACACACACACACACACTACTACACACACACACACACACACACACACACACACACACACACACACACACACACACACACACACACACACACACACACACACACACACACACACACACACACACACACACACACACACACCTACAAAATCAGAGAAAATTCTCATTTGTAGAATGTGAAATAAACAATTTCGAAACCTAGGAGGACCATTTATGGAATAATTGCTACTGTGAAAGCTAGGAGCAGTCGCCAATTTTTGTAGGTTTCCGAAAATTACGGCCGTACTTCGAAGGCACATGCGGACATGCCTAATGCTGATTCCATATGTTTATATTAAATCAATGTAATCAATATCTAATTATACCTTGTACTTGTGAGAAACGGAGCGCTAAATAAAATACAGGAAGAATTAGAAGAAGCAAATGTTATACTAGCGGTTACTCCAATTAATTTAGAGCATTTTTACAATGAGATGTACCTAATAATTATTTGGCCTGCCTAGATCTATCGCACGCACACACGCCGCAAACACACCCGTACGTTTGCATCGTTCGGCAAGAGAGGCAGTCTATATAATAACGCACGGCCCTAATTACGTGCAGGCTTCATAGCAACCTGCCGATAGGCGTTTCACTAATTATCTCCCAGCATCGATTCGATATATTGACCTAGATTGTTTCCCCGCTAGCTGCTATATCTCTCTCGGCTGCGCCGCGTCCCCACGGCGCACGTTGGCCCGACACGAGCCGACGCGCGCGCGTGCGTGCACGCACTCACACGTGCGTCTCCGCACGCGGATATATAAATACCGCGTAAATAATGCACGCTGATCGACATGGCGGCGCGAGTGGCCGGGCGTCCAGCCGCGACCCCACCCGATGACCGCCGACGACCTTGCATGGCCGTCGTGGCCGAGATGCGCGGCCCGACTGACCTCTCGCGACCCATTTCTGCTCCTGGGTAGCCGGGAATTAGGTCACGGATATTATCGCGAGATGCTTGTATTGTCACACACCGCCGGGACATATGTAATCTGTTAATATTTGAGCCGCACGGTGACTATACGGTCGGCTATATACGGTACACGCAATAATGCACGGCCTCGCGTCTCAAGTGAGAGGTGACAGCGCCACTTGCGGATAAGGGGGTGTGGTGAGGGGAGGCATCAGTGCCATATGAGTATATTACCCTTTCGATAATTAATGAGAGGAAACGGATAAAAACAAAAACCGCGAAGCATTCATTTGTGAGCATTTCAAATGCGCATTTTAATTGGTGTTTCGCATAAAATTATTTAGTCTTCGCCATGCATGCAGAGACCAGCAGATCGGTAGGAAGCATTAAAATGAACGACTTACCCCGCGCTGGGGAACTTACAACGCCACATCTTCATACTCTATCCCACCTCACCGATGGCTGCCCCCCCCTTCCACGTACGTTGGCGCGCTGGACCCCCCACCCAAAAAAAAGACAACACATGGCGCGTAAACTATTGCCGATGCAGATTCACCCCACGCCCCACCCAACCCGCATCATTACAAAAATCCATCCTTCCCCACGAACATGTACATATGCTGCAGATCAATTAATCTACCTCAACGTACGCGTTATTGGGCGGCACAGGTCCCCGGTATAATAACGCTCGGTCCCCGCATAGATGTGGAACAGAGATCACGGCCACCCTCGATCTGATCGCCCGAAGCCATCTCCCCTCCCGCATATAGTAGCATGCTCCGTGTTCTACTAAGGCGATGAGGTCAGTTCAATTAGAAGCTATTGATATGAGCAGCGGCGGACAGGCAGCTGCCGCACTCACGCTATTATCTATAGTGATTTAATACGCGCACCGGCTGTCAACAACGCCTATTAGACCACGTACAATTTACAGGTAATTTAGGTAAGAAATGTGAGATGCAGCGTTAGTACTGAGCGACGCGGAAGAAATGATTAGAAAATGCATTATATGAAGCTCTTGATATAAGATGCCCTTTTTAGCACCTATATATATAGCTCGCCAAACAGGATAAAAATAGGTTATCGTGCCGTAGCACGTGATTGCTCTCACCCGGAAAAATAAACGATTACGAATTTGCTCATTTCGATCAGACATGAGCGTACGTGTGGGAAGGGGTCAATTTTGCTTAGAAATAGAGGGATAACATAGAGCAAATCGAACCTTCTTGCAAAACGATAACATTGCATCCATATAGGTATGCGTACTCGCTCGATACAAAATCGAGCAAAACTCAGCGCTAATGTTTGTAGCAATTTTCACGTCTTATATTTATGTTCGTCACGGAGATAAATCCTGTAAATCATGTTGGTAATGGAAAATATAGTTTTTATTTTATTCGCGTTATTACCCGGTATCGCCATCAGAGCTATAATACGTAAAATTATCTCAGCCGAAATGCACCATCTCTATCAGTCGCAAACACCCCGCGTCTTTCCCCTGCGCAGCTTCCTGCTTCCACCCCTCGACACGCAGAGCCGCGTAAAATACGGAAGAATCCATTTTCTGAGAGCAGTCGATCGCCTACGCGAGGCATATTGTAATGAGATATGGTCTTGTTTACGTTCTACGTCGATGACCCAGTGACACACTACTCGGCGCCGTTAATAGGTATTCAATAACACAAATATTCCATCGGCGTGAGTTGACGCGCACAACGGATATGCGATGTGTAGTGAAAGGCGCCGGGAGTGTGAAAGGCGGGTTAGATAGAAACGGAAAATCTCGTTAAAACATTAGATGTTAGAAGGAAGCGGACGGAAAGTATAGCGGCGAATAGCATAGGCCTATATAGATGACCGAAGGCGAAGAGTTGACTGAGTGGTTCATGTAAGCGTAGCACAAGGATGTAGTATAGCTGTAGCTAATATATTCGTGTCATGATTTCCGCATCTCAGTAAAATTCGGTAGAGGTATACACAGTAAACCGATTATTCTTCGTTTATCATGTAGGCCCTATACTCGCCGATATCACGTTCATCAGTCAATGTATTATGTATTATTAATATTTTCTCGCATCCTCGCCGACCTGTGCTTCTCGCAGTCTGCTGGAGGGGATGCGAGCACCAGATTGCGTGAAAGCTCTGCGACATGTCATCATCAGCTAATCCTTTCTCGTGACTAGTCATGCATGCAGGTCATCAGTAGGAACTGCGTATGCTATAGATAAACGAGGTTCTCGTGCTTGCTTACACCGGGAATGGGTGCCTGCCCTAAAGGCGTAAACATTTTATAGGATAGTGTATAAATAGTCACACCGAAAATAACCGCGTCGATCCAAATTCCAAGGGAATAAAGTCAACTTCCTTTTTTTTCTATTTTCCTATTTTCTCCCGACGTTATACAATATCCGCACGTTAATTATAGGGAGACAAATAAGTGAGGAGACGCATAGACGTTTATATACATGTTTTTATTTAATTGCTATAAGTTATAATCTGAATAGGTTCACATGAAGACTGAAAACCATGTCTAATTAGTTTCAGTCGAATAAGGTTATACGTACGCTTTTTTTAAATGTACTACTAACAACTACTACTATCAACTATAATATGCTTGCTTGTCCAAGAAGACCAATTAACGGCTTGTCCCTGTCACGTTCCTGAACCGAGCTAAAAGCGCGATAAGAAGTACGTACCATGCAATCTCTGGTTATCACAGCCAGAAATAGCCAGTTAAGAAGAATCTCTCGATCGGATGAGAAGGAGACGCATAAATGTTTGCGCTAGCGTGTTTTTTTTATTGCGGTGTGCTATAATTATAGGTTCAGCTCGAGGATCTGATATGTGACGAGTACAATGATGCTACGCGTGCGCACCGTGCGGGTGGGAGTAAGCTGACCTGCTGCTCCCCCTCTTATACGCCTTCGTACGAGTCATAAATACAGGCCTTGGTTCAATATTGACTGTTATAGAGAGTGCGAGTCATTCATTCATTCATTCAGGTCACAAGCGGTGCTTATCTAGGTTATTGGCAGAAAGATCTGGGGCACTGACATCATTTTCCCCTTCCAAGGCTGACCGGTCCAATTCTGGGTCACTAGCATTCTAGATTTCAGCCGGCAAAGTTGTCCAAGGTTGTTTTGCCACTGTCTGATTGGGCGGTCGATAGCGGCTCACGCCGAATGAATATGCATTGTGTAATAACAGAGGAAAGCTGGGATTGAGCAGTGCGAATTGCGGCAATAAGACTTGGAGCCAGCACATCGGACAGGTGATGAATATAGTTACAGGGAATACAAATGTAATAACGAATTATATTCGAGAAAAGAGTTCAATAAAAACATAACCTAAATAATAAAAGTGAATAATTTGTCTGGGTAATAACTTGCGATTCGCGTTAGAAGTCCATTAAATCAATTTAGTGTCAGTGTCAGCGGCACTAGTTAGCATCAGAGCCAAATTAGCGTTAGAGTTAGTGTGAAGGGTAGCGTCAGAGTCAAGTTAGTGCCAGAGTTCGATTGCACATGCTTGTCAAGTTTTGCTTATCCGTAGAAGATCATGATCGTCGATAGATGGCGCGCTGCACAGGGGAACAAGCGCCGGCAACAGACCACAGAAATAGAATATTCGCTTCTATTCTATTTCTGTGCCACAGACTGACGGATACACCGGCATGTCGGTGGCATGGAAACATATATCCACCACACAGACGGGACGAAACGCCAAAATAGTGCAATGCAATTGAATGGTGGCGCTGCCCAGCGAATGAAGCGGTACACTAAAAATCTGGCTGTGGTGACAGATTTTGGATGTGTAACGTTGTAACATTAAAACGTCTCTATCGTTAATTCTAATATTTGGACTGGAGTTTAATTATACATTCCTGGATCTAGAAGGTAAAATGTTAGTCTTCAAGTAGATTTTGCTCTATTAAACGGCTATACATTTATTGTTACATGCAAAACGATCATCCACACCGTATCACTGACTAATGGACAATGAATACACACAATACATCACAATGCGTAATGTGCTACAGTCTGTAGTTTAATTTATTCCTTAGTCTGTGACCGGATTTTGTGAGATGTTTGTTTTTTCTACAAACAATAAAAATAATAAAGACGATATAATTTCCATATTGTTTACTCAAATACCAATTAGTCACATTTATTGCTAAGAAGTTTAATCACAATTACGTGCTGGCGCTTCAGCAATGTACGATTCTGCTTGTTTCTAGGTTGGGAGTGCAGGAGGGTTACTGACTTCTATCAGAGATGGAACTGCATCCTTTCTCAGCCTCTTAAATTTTTTGACTTGCTCTTGTGTTTTTAATAAAGGTGGAAGGGATCGGGTGAAGGAATTATGGAAAATAAGATAAAGTACAGACAGTATGCATTTTTTATTAGCAAAATTATTCAGCATGTGTTGGTTTAGTTTTGATATTGCCTAGTGCTTCAGTGCCCAGCAGTGAATATTTCTCAAACGTATTTTTCTGTTTATGTATATTTCTTAAAATCAAGCCTGGTACATGTATAACGACCCATGAGTCACACGACGAGAAGCAGAGAAAGCAATGTTTTTTACTAATTTCCCATACTAATAATAGTTATGTTTTTAAATAGGTACAGCATATCACATTTCAAAGCAGCCAGTGATTTTTACCCTTGTCAGCTGGACACATAAATTGAGATGCCTCAAAAAGACAAAATGATCCTCGCAAATTAGCAGATATTTGCATGGGCTGTCTTTTAACCCGTCAATGTTGGCTCTTCCTATGTTGCAGATCCACTTCCGAAGTCTATAGCCTCGTCTACACGACGACGCTTAACTCGAGTTAAGCTAACTCGAGTTAAGCGTTAACTCGAGTTAGCGATTATGTAGCGTCTACACGACAACAGCCCCCGATAGCGATTATACCGATTATTATGCATCGTGCGTGCGTGTTGTATGTAAACGTGCGTGCATGCGTGCGTGCGTGTGTATGTAAACGTGCGTGCATGCGTGCGTGCGTGCGTGTGTGCGTGCGTGCGTGTGCATATGCACGTAGACATGCGTGCGTGCGTGTGCACGTACACGTGCGTGCGTGCGTGTGCACGTACACCGTGCGTGCATGGGTGTGTGCGCGTGCGTGTGCACGTACACGTGCGTGCGTATGCACGTACACGTGCGTGCGTGCGCGCGTGTGCCGGTACACGTTCGTGCGTGCGTGCGCGTGCGTGCGTGCGCTCCGTGTGTGCACGTACACGTGCGATGCGTGTGTGCACGTACACGTGCGTTGCGTGTGTACGTACACGTGCGTGCATGAGTGTATGCGTGTGTGTGCACGTATATGTGCGGCGTGCGTGTACACGTAATATCGTGGCGTGCCGTGCGTGCGTGCGTGCGTGTGCAAGTACACGTGGGGGGCCCCCCGCGTGCCCGTGTTGCGTGTGTACGTATACGTGCGGGCATTTGCGTGCGTAGTGGGCACAGTACACGTGCGTTGCATGCGTGAGTTGTGTGCGTTGTGCACTATCACGGCGTGCGATGCGTTGAGTGCGCGCGTGTCGCACGTACATTCTGCGTGCACGTACATTTCGTGCGTGCAATGCGTGCGTACATGCGTGCCATGTGCACGTACACGTGCGTGTGTATACGCAACGTAACACGATGTCGTGCGGCGTGCCTGAACGGTGCGTGTGCACGTAACTAGCGTGCGTGCATGCGTGCCTGCGTGCGTAGTGCACGGTACAGTTCGTGTCGTGGCGCGAGGATCGCTGTGCCGGTACAGCTCGTTGCGTCCGTCGTGTGAGCACGTACACTGCGTGCGTGCTGCGTGCGTTGTGCGCGCGTGTGCATGGGCTACGGTAGACTGCGTGCGTGCGGGGTTTGTGAATCTTACACGTGGCGTGCATGTGTCGTGCGTGCTCGTGTTGTGCACGTACACGTGAGCGTGCGTGCGTGCGTGGTAGCGCGCTGTGTGCAGGTACACGTTCGTGCGTGCGTGCGTGGCGTGTCAGGTACACAGTGTGTGCCATGTAGTCGTGCGGTGCGTGCGTGCGTGCGTGTGTGTGCAAGTACACTGCGTGCATGCAATGTGCACGTAGACGTGCGTGAGTGGCAGTGCGTGCGTGCGTGCTGTTGTGCACGTATCACGTGCGTGCATCGCGTGCGTGTCATCCGTATCAACGTGCGTGCTAATGAGTGTGTGCGTGCTGTGCAAGTACAACGTGCGTGCGTGGCGTGTCAGTGCGTGCGTGCGTGCGTAGCGTGCTGTGCGTGGCGTGCGTGGAGTGTGTACGTACATCGTATCTAGTGGTTGGCCGCCTATCGTGGAGTTATGTACTTATTCGCGTAACTCTGAGTTAAAGCGTCTACACGGGGCCTTACACTCGATGTTAAGGCCCCGTGTAGACGAGGCTTATGTACATAATCATCATCTACATGTGTCATGTAATGATTGGTGGTATTATTTACAATTGCATATCGTGTTAACTGGCATTTTTTCACAGAACAAAGGGCAGCAGGAAATTACACAGATCACCGCGAACAAAGTAAGTTTTTCTTAACTTTAACTGTTAGCTTCACAAGATTGTATCTTGTATTAGTTTTACATTGATATTATGATTACAGTATGATTAAACAATCAATAAGTACAGTCTCTGTTCGTGTGCACAGCAGTCAGTGAGTCACTGCATCTGTCACTGCCGTCCTAACAAATTTATTGTTTGCAAACGTATATAGCATGCAACACGTGATAAATCTAGTACCTATCATGATCTGTGGGAAACTTATACCTATATTAAAAACGCTATATCTGGGGGTTTCTTCCTTGTATTGGAACAATTTCCCGCACTGCAATAACCACCAGCTGATGCCTGGTGAGTAGTTGACCGCTTCATTCGCCAGGGGCAGCACCATCGAAACGCAGGGTATACGAAGCAGGGTATACGAAGTGTCCAGTCTGTGTATCCGTTAGTCTGTGCGCCGGCCGTGGTCCGGCCACTGATCTCTATTATACTAATTTATATAATATATTATATATGTATAATATACTATATAATATAGTTAATATAATAGAGATAAGTGGTTCCGGCCGTGCGCGTTCATCTTCGAGAATAATATTGACGTGAAAAAAGGTTTGTGTAACTGATTTCTTTATTCGTTTTAGCCGAAAGGCGTAGTGAGGATGTCTATCCATCCCGATAACCATTTACCGTATTATAGAAATGTATATATAGTATATATAATATATATATATATATATATAGATACTATATATATATATATAATATATATATATATATAGAGAGAGAGAGAGAGAGAGCGCGCGCGCGAGCGAGAGAGAAAGAGATTATATATAGCCTAAGTGGTGCACTTTTCCGCATTCGGCTCGGTGTTGCTCGATCGCGTAATGAATAATGAATGCACTTGCTAGCGATCTATTATAGCCTGCTTGTGAAGCCATGAACGAGAAGCTCAACTGCTGCGCTTAGTATAGCTAATTTTAACCGCTAGGGGTTTTGGATACACGATATAGTTTATAAATGATAAGGATGTAAATGATCAGCTGATGTTTCGTGCGTAATTGCGCATAGAAATGCCCATGCACATGAACAAATTTTGTCGACAGTTTGCACTAGCGTTTGTTACGGCCGTCACGATAATATATACAGTGAATTATATTCGCTGCGCAACGTTTATCGGCTAAGAATTTAAACATAAGAAAGCGCACAATTTTCTATTAAACCGTGGTATTTTCTTAATTATGAACCTGGTAAATCTGTAATTTTCGCATTTGTACGCGCACGCATGTGCTTGGAACCCGCATGCGCACGCACACTTCGCCGCACACACTTGCACGAACCACTGGCACGAACGCACATAGATATGTGAGTGACGTAAGTGGCTGGTGGAGTTGGATCTCAGTGATAATAAGTGCTGCCATCTTCCGAGTCAGAAAATGTTTTTTTTTACAATGTCTATATTACCAGGCGCGTACCATAACGCAGATACGCAATTGCGTATCACCAAACATTTTTTTTATTGCAGAAAGAGAAAGAGACGGAGAGAGAGAGAGAGATGGCGAGAGAGAGAGAAAGAGAGAGACAGAGAGAAAGAGGGAGAGAGAGAGGGCGAAAGAGAGAGAGAGAGAGGGCGAGAGAGAGAGAGAGAGAGAGAGAGAGAGAGAGAGAGAGAGAGAGAGCGAGAGAGAGAGAGAGAGAGAGAGAGAAGAGAGTCAGAGGTCAGTCAGTCAGTCAGACTGTCCGCTCTTAAGATTAAAGTTTGCCAACAAAACGTATTATTGATAGCATGTTACTAACAGTAAACACTAACGACAAATCCAAAGTCTGATATTAAAGCTTTATTAATAGTATAGCCTTATAAATATTAATCTTCTGATGTTTTGGCCTAGCGTGACTCTGATACCTCTGATAGAAATTAGCGTTACGTGAAACGCCTCGTGTTTATTTAACCGTGAACGCGATTTATATTATATTAGCGTTTAGCGTGAATTTATTTTTTCACTTGATCTTAAAGCGAATTTTGATCTCTTTGATTCACCATTTTTACACAATGTCATCCAGCGTAGACTGGTCGGCTGCGTCTCGACATATGTCTATGAGACTATCTCTACTCATAAGCGTTACTACATCAGTGCGTTTAGGCGGGAGGGATTGGTGGGCTAGCTACCCCCCCTCTGTTGCGACTCACAATATTTTCACATGAGTCACGCGCTGTATATAACCTCACCTGATGCATAGGATGCATGCTCCCATCGCTGGGCACCAGACCCGCACACGCTTGCTCGCCCGCACGCACGCCACGCCCGCACGTGGCACCACGGCACGCGGCGCACGCACGCACGCACGCCACGCACGCATGCACACCCAAGAGAGAGGAGATGAGAGACAAGAGAGAATTTAAGAAGTGTGCGTCTAGTGCTTGATAGGTAAAGACGAAAATACATGATAGTTATAGTGACTTTATGATCAGCATCTTGTTGGCTCATGCAGAGATAGTTCTACTAAAAAGATAATTGTCTAGTCAGCATGAAGGCTGTACATTTACTCGTAAAGTGCTCAAATACCCCTGCGATCTTACATCAAATTTTAACATAGAACCCTGAGAAACATTGAGCATCGTTGATTGCTAACACTACTCTAGCGTTAAATTGATGGCATTTACTTTCACAAGGCGTCGTAGGCATAGCACGTACCCGAGGCTCACGTTTCGAATTCAGGATCGAGCGTATGGCGAAGGAAATTTCCGTTTTCACCAAAGGTTCTTGCGAGTAGGTAAAATATAACAAATCCTTCGTTCTGTGTAGACAGGCAGCAGACATCTCTCTCTCTCTCTCTCTCCTCTCTTCTCTCTCATCTCCTCTCACTCTCTCCTCTCACTCTCTCTCGCTCTCTCCTCTCTCACTCTCTCTCTCTCTCTCTCTCTCTCTCTCTCCTCTCCTCTCTCACTCTCTCNGTGTGTGTGTGTGTGTGTGTGTGTGTGTGTGTGTGTGTGTGTGTGTGTGTGTGTGTGTGTGCGTGTGTGTGCGTGCGTGCGTGCGTGTGTGCACGCGTGTGTGTATGGGTACGTGTGTGTGTGTGCGTTAGTGCGTGTGTGTGTATGCGTACGTGTGTGCGTGCGTGCGTGCGTGCGTGCGTGCGTGCGCGTGTGTGCGTGTGTGTAAGCGTACGTGTGTGCGCGCGTGTGCGTGCGTGCGTGCGTGCGTGCGTGTGTGTATGGGTACGTGTGTGTGTGTGTGCGTGCGTGCGNGAGGAGTAAGAGGTAGGATCACCTTCTTCACCCTGTGCGTGATTCACTGTCTCCTCTCCTGGCTCCCTACTTTCCTCATCACCTTCTCTCTCCCCTCCTCCTCCTCCTCCTCCTCCTCCTCCTCTCTCTTCCCCTACTCCAACACGCGTCTCCCTCCTCCTCCCTTCTCTACTTCCCTCCTCCTCTCCTTCTCATCTCTCCTCCACCCATACTCCAAACACTCTCTCTCATCCTCCTCTGCTCCTACTCCTCCTTCTCTAATTTCCCTCTCCTTCCTCCTCTATTCATCATTTTCCCTCCTCCTCCTCTACCTCCTCTTCCCCCTACTCTATCACCTTCTCCCTCCTACTCCTCCTCCATCACCTTCTCCCTCCTCGTCCTCTCCTCCTTCTTTCCATCACTCCCCCCTTCTCCTCCTCTCATCCTCCTCCTTCCTCCCTCCTCCCCCTACTCCATCACCTCCTCCTCCTCCTCCTCCTCCTCTGCCCCCTACGTCCTCCTCATGACCGTTCTTCATTTTCTCCATCACTTTCTCCGTCCTCATTCCCCCCCCTCCTCCCCTTCTCCTCCTCCTCCTCCCCCTACTCCATCCACCTTCTCTCCTCCTCCCCTCCTCTCTTCCTCCTCCTGCCCCTACTCTCCTCTCAGACACGTCTTAATTTCGATCTCATCACCATTCTTCCTCCTCCTCCTCCCCGCCTGACTCCATCCCTTCTCTCCTCCTCCTCTCCTTCCTTTCCTCCTCCTCCATTACTCTTCCTCCATGACTCTTCGATTCATCTCCTCCCTTCTCCCTCCTCCTCCTCCCCTCTCCTCCCCTCCTCCATCACCTTCATCTCTCCTCCTCCTCCTCTCCTCCTCTTCCTCTTCTTCCGCCCTCCTACTCCTCCTCCATTGACCATTTCATTCGATCTCCATATCACTCAGGGGCAGGTACGTTTATGTAAACACAGGGTACATATATGCGGAGAAGATACAGGTCTGGTACACTTGTGTATACATATACGTACCTCGGGTACATATATCTGTTGTACCTGATACGACAACGACCCCTTCAGCGTTAATTGATGGCACCGCGCAGTCACGTCTAGATCTATACGTTACAAATTATGCACATATATACGGCAAGACGTACATCAAATGAATGTAATATATAACGGAAGAACTCAGAACTGGTTAGACGAGAGAAGGGAATGTTATCGGTGTAGGTGATCGGTTTTACGTGAATGCAGACGCCCATGTGCGGCGCGAACGTTATATAATTCTTACTATACAGGTTCTGCGTGTACGTGACTCAGCAATTTTTGTCACTCGTATAGGTATGTAGGTATGTTTACCCAGCAGCCTGCTCCGCGGTAGACTTGTGCAGAGCTGTGTGCGTGCGTGTGCACAGGCACTTGAAGCGTTTCAACTGTAAATACACGCCGCCGCCATTGCGCGCACACTGACACATAAATAAATATATATACCGTGTGTGTGCGAGCGCGCGTTCGTGCGTCCGTGTGCGGTGTATTCTGTGTACGTGTACACGCACGCATGTGTACGTGCACACAGAGTCACAGATGCATGCACGTACGCACGTCCACGTGCGCACGCACGCACGCACGTGAACGTGCACATGCACGCACGCACGCATGTGTACGTGGACACGCACGAACGCACGCACGCACGCCCGCACGCGCACGCGCACTTGCTCCCTATAATCGTGCATGCACGAACGATTGAATTCTATTCCACAGCCCGACCTTACAAGCACATGACCACGCCTTTGACCACGCTACGTTCCACGATCCGTTTTTCACAGACCTTATATCGCATCGCAGCAGCCGCCACGTCGATGGCGACAGTAGCTACTAAAGATCTGACAGCGACGGGAGAATTTGTGAGGAGACCTACTGCATTTCACAACAAGATAACAGGTATCACGTGATATGGGTGCTGTTAACTATGGGTTCATTCCCCTATCAGGTGTGAATAATGACAGTCTATCTGTACTATACATAGTATACATATTATGAGGAGTGAATAATAATATAGAGCACCTAAATGTGAGACATAATTTCTGTAATGATTAGCACTTTAATGTATTTTAACTGTGTGTACTACTACAGCTGATGGCTCCAGCGGCTTCAAAGCAGAAGCAAATCGCTACCACTTATACGTCTGCTACGCATGTCCTTGGGCATCACGCACACTTGCCGTTCGCAAACTGAAGGGGTTGGAGAAGATCATTTCATTTAATGTCGTAGACTGGCTCTTGGAGGAGGGAGGTTGGAAATTTAATCCAAACGTAAGAGGAATAATTTTTTGATTGTTTTCATGTATTAACAAATAAACGTTTTTCAGTTTTTTTAAAGTTTTAATATGGGCAGAAAATTGCATATACTTCATTGTATGTTTAAAATAGCTTTTAATTAAAATTTGACCATTGATTAAATAAAACAGCAATGGAAAAGCAATTACATTTTTGTGAATACCACAAGTTTCTTTGGGAGTGCTTTATATACCAACTCACGCTAACTGGAATATGTCATTGCACAGCAGCATAAACACATCTGAACAAAATAAGATATAACATATATATATATATTATATATATAAATATATATATATATATATATATAGTATATATANAGATTATCACAAATTGAGAGTATTATTATCGTTAGAACCCGTAGCAACACAATTGAATGCAGACCAGATCAAAAGAAAAATAGAGACGAAATGAATGTGGCTTCACCACTCCGCTGTTTCTCAGCAGTATGCCAATCGCAATTCAGACTCAATAGTGCGGCAACTTGAGAACGCGAGCGACTAGGTATGTAACTTTTAGTAGCTATTCTTCGTTACACGTTTGCCAACGGAGTAAGTTTGTGGCTCTCTGAACATTTGAGACTTGTCAAATGATGCATATTTTATTTTTTAACACCCATGATTCTGGGTGTTCCCAACGTGAACAATGATCACTGAGTTACATTAATCAGGTTTGAACCCGTAAAAATGTCTAAAGTTGCCATCCTCATGACATGTTGTTATACATAAGCGTTTCTGGTGATTTCTATGTAAACTATAAAATCAGGACTTTTTCATATTCGGATAGTCTCATTTGTAGCAGTTGGAGGAAAAATCTTATCGCGCAAACGGTACCTTGTGTGCAACCAGCTTGACTGAAGCAGAACATACGCTTGTTTGTGACCCATTCTATGAGGTCAATGCAAGTGTATCATTTCGAGAAGGTAGACAACACGGTGCTTAATCACCCCAACGAACACTTCAAGGTGGCTCTTTTTAGCTCGAGATAATTATATAGTGCATGGTAGTAGAAAAATTAATCAAACCCGTAACACTTTAGTTCGACACAGAAGCTACATGCAAAAAAGCGTGAATAGACCATCCAAACACTTTTAAAAATTTGATTCAATAATAGGCATTTTATAATAACAAATGTGCAGATCTTACGCAAATGACTGCACCAAACAGCAGGAAAGTAAAATATGTTCAAAGCATGAGGGCACTGCAAAGCTCTCGTATTGAATAATTTACTAATATTTAAGTGGGCAAATAAAGGGTTTCCCTCAATAGTTCTTTTGACAATATTTACAGCTGTATAGAAGTGCTTGCTGAGAGTATCAAAATCGAACAACTAAAATTTAAATGCATGTCTATACTGATTTTTTTCGATGTCTGACAATAATATTGTCTTTACAGTGTAAAAAAGAAATGCTTGAGAGAGTATCCAATACTTATGGGGGTGCATAGGACATCTAACCAGTATGCGGCATCGGAGAAACTGTTAACCATGGACGCAAGCATCAGAAAATCATTACAAGGTGACGTAGGAAAGATATAATGGTGTGTACAGAGCACAGCTACTCACTATAAAATGAAATGCTGTTCGACGGTGTCATTTGTGAGCAACATTAATTACTCGTCCCGTTTAGGATTTGCTGGACATGATATAGATGAATGAGAGCACACAATAAAAAATAATTGAATTTAAATGATATAATTTGTTCTTTAACACATGACTAAAACTCATTTTGTATACTTCCTGCAGAGACAAGCCATCGCTTACTGGGTATCTTACTGTAAATCCCTTTGGAATCATTTCGATTGGACCAGATTTGGACTTTGAGGCACCACACGGCAGAGAAAACGTGAAGGGATAGAAAAATTGTCACCGAGAGCCACCGTCCAGTAGTCTACTCTCATGTACTTTAGTTGCACTGAATTAGTAGTAATTGAAATGTCTTTTAGTTATTTTGCTGTTTACTGTATTTTTGGTCTTTGCATTTTGTTTTGATTATATATGTAAAGTATACGAATATTTTCCTAGAATAACCAACCCATATAATTTTTATATTCTGTAACTTAGTGAAATACATTTACTGCAAGCATGATCAAGCATCAGTATATTAATTGTTACAAGTGGGATATAAATGATTGGTGCACACGTTCCAGTGGTACAAACATGAAACATATAGCTGGTACCACTACCAGCACATAATAACTGCTACCAGCAAAAAATAACTAGCAAGGAAAAACAGGAAAAAGAAGACTAAGCTATAGTTTGTGGTAGAACAGGGTATAAGGAATATGTTTTGTATATGTGTTTGTATATTTGTTTTCTGGAATTACCGAGGATCGAGGTGAAAGATAAATGAGGTTGATTGATGGTGGCAAATAAACACGAAATGTATTCATTTCCAAAGTTATGTATTTGTTTTTTTATTATTTTTCACCTAAATTAATATTGGTCACACGTGCGTACAGTCATGTAAACGCAGTTCAGACGCTCCTCTTCTCTGCAACACATTACATAATTTCAGTCCACAGTATATCAGTATTATGAGTGATACGAAGAGAAATGTGAGGGCCGTAGCACACGGAATATAAGTTATATGACGTGAAATACGCGAGCGTTACAATGGTGAGAAACAGTCATAAACAAGTGAGTACCCTCGATTAACGGAATTTTGGCCCGCCTTTTTGACAACAAAGCACATATTTGTTGGTAAAAATGATGAGGCAACACCCTGAAAAAGACCCCTGTCGATTTTCACGGACCTACCCCTACATTTACGAAGTATGGAGCATTACTCGCTACTCATACACTGATACAAGAGTAACTCGAGAGCTACTGACACTGTCACTGTTAGTTGTTACCAAGGAGCTACATAGTACATTATTATTATATCATTTGATTATATCCTTGGTCGTTACTGCTGACAGTACTGTGCTGTCTGCTGTGCTGATACTAATTACTCCTCCTTCTCTTCCTCCATGACCTCTTATATTCGATCTCCATTCAACGTCTCTGCTCCTCCTCCTCATCTTCCATCCACTCTTCCTCCTCTTGGCCCCGACTCCATTCACCTTCCTCGCTCTCCTCTTCCCCCTTCGCTTTTCTTCTCCCACGCTTCTCTTTCCTTCCTCCTCTTCCTCCGCCGACTCATCCTCGTTCTCCCTCTTGCTCCTCCTCCTATCCTCCTCTACTCTTTCTTCCAGTGACCGTGTTTTCTTCGCATCTCCATCATCCTTTGTCGCTCCTCCTCCTTCGCCTCTGTCCCCGCCTCTCCCCTCCCCTCCGCCCCTGTCCTCCCACTCCTGGCTCCTCCTCTGCCCCTAGCCTCCGCCCCCTACTCCATCACCTTGCCTCGTTCCCCCTCCTTCTCCTCTCCTCTTCCTCATGCGCCCTACTCTTCTCCCTGACCGTCACTCGTATTCGCATCTCCATGCTCACCGGGGCAGGTACACTGTGGGGATGCCTACAGGGATACGTACCTCGGGTACATGATCTGTTCAGTACCTGATACGACAACGACCCTTCAAGCGCAATAAACGTGGTAACGTGGCTACCCGTTACAAATGTAGCCAGGGATTTCGCAACATCGGTGAAGCTTGCACACTGTTACCATGAGATAGTGAGAAGGGCCGGAGAGAGAGGAGGAGAGAGAAGTCAGAGAACAAACGCGAAGGGAGTGAGCGGAGGGGACAGGAGGAGAGGGAGGAGAGTCAAAGGAGGAGGTGGAGCGAGGGAGGCATGCGGGCTAGAGTTGATAGTAGTGTCTAGAGAGGCAAGAGGAGGCATGAGAGGGAAGGGAAGAAGGTTTGGGATAGGTGGAGGAAGAGAATGAGGTAGAGGTTAGGAGGAGGAGAGGAGAAGTTGGAGCCGAGAGAGGAACACCAGTGGGAGCGAGACGGCAAGGAGGAGCGGTCGTAATGGAGAAGCGTCGCGGCTTACGGTGATGCGAGGAAGAGTAAATGGGGCAGGACCAAAGGAGGAGGAGGAGGCAGGGAGGAGGAGGAGACAACTGATCGATGAGCAAGAGGTGAGAAGGGGATTCCTACCTCACTACTCCTCCTCGCTACATCACTGCTTCTCCTCTTCTCCTCCTCCATTCTCCTCCTCCTCCCCCGCCTCCATCACCTTCTCCCCTCTCTCCTTCCCTCCTTCCTCCCCTCCTCCTCCCTCGCGCCCTATTTCCATCGCTTTTCCCCTTCTCCTCTCCTCCCCCTCTCCCTCCTACCTCCTCCAGTGCGCTCGTCCTCCCTCTATCTTCTCGCTCCTCCCTCCCTCTGCCCATTTTTCCCTTCCATCCATCCTTCTCCTCTTTTCCTCCCTCCTCCCCCAACATCCCGTCCCGCTCCTCCTTCCTGTCCCCGCCCTAATCCATCACCTACTCTCCTCCTTCCTATCTCCTCGCCCTACTCTATTACCTTCCCCCTATCGCTTCTCATCCCTGATCCTCTCCTCACCTCTCCTCTCCCACTCATCACCTTCTCCCTCCTCCCTCCTCTGGCTCCTCCTTTTTGTACAATACACTCCTAGTCCCCTCCTCCTCCTCTTCCCTACTCCATACCCTTCTCCTCTCTCCTCCCCACTCATCACGCTATCTACCCGCCTCCTCCTGCCTCCACCTACTCCTTCACTCTCCCTCTCCTCCTCCCGTCCCTCCTTCCCTCTCCTCTTCTCCTCCCCCTACTCCAATACCTTTCGTGGCCTCCGCCTCCTCTCCGCGCTTCTCTGCCCCCTATCCTTTCTAATGACCGTTTTCCATTCGGATCTCCATCACTTCTCGCTCCTCCTCTCTCTCCGTGCCTCCTTCCTCCTCCTGCTCACTCCCTTACTCCATCACCTTTCTCCCTTCCCTCCTCCACTCCTCCTCTTCTCCTCTCCTCGCCTCTCCTGCGCCATACTCCTCATACAGACCTTCATTCCATCGTCAATCACCTTCTCCGCTCCCTCTCTTCGCCTTCTCTTCGTCCTACCTTCTCCCCCTCTCTTCTCCTCCTCCCTGCTCCTCATTCTCCTGCTTCCGACTCCATACATCTCGGCCGCTCGTCATCCTCCCACTTGATCCTTCTTCCCTTCTCCTCCTACTACTTCCTTGCCTCCCTCCTGCTCCTCCTCCTCTCACCTATACATTAACCTTCTCCCCTCCTCTCTGCCTCCTCCTTCTCCTCCCCTAACTCCGATTACTTTTCTCCTCCTCCGTCCTACCTCCCTCTACTTAGTTACTTTCTCCTCCTCCTCCTCCTCCTCGCCTCCATGCCCCGATCTGCCTCCATGACGTCTTCATTCGATTCTTCCGCGTCACCGTTTCCCCTCCTCCTCCTCCTCTCCCACTTCCTGCCTGCCCCTCCTTTTCCTCTTCACCCCTGACATCCATCCCTTCTTCTTTCTCTCTCCTCTTCCCCTTTCTCCTCCTCCTCCCCCTACTCCCATACCTTCTCCTCTCATCTCCTCCGCCTCTTTCCTCCTCCTCATCCTTCCTCCTTCTCTTCCTCCATGACCTTTTATGTCGATCGCCATTCAAACTGCTACTGCTCCTCGCTCCTCATCTCCTCTTCCTCCTCCTGCCCTAACTCATCGCACCTCTCCGCCTCGCTCCTCCTCTATCCCCTCCTCCCCTCCTCTTTCTCCTCTCTGTCCCCGCCTTACTCCATACCTGTCTCCCCCTCCGTCCTGCTCCGCCTCCTATCCTTCTACTCGCTTCTCCATGACCGTTTTATTCGCTCTCCATCAACCTATTTGCGCTTCTCCCCTTCCCTCTTCCCTCCTTCTCTCCTCCTCCCCCTCTCCCCTCAGTGCTCCTTCCTTCCCTATCCTGCCTCCGGCTACTCAATGCACTTCTCCTCTCCCCTCCGTCTCCTCCTCCTCTTCCTCATGCCCTTACTTTCTCCATTGACCTCTTATTCGATCTCCATCTCAGGGGCAGGTACACTTTGTGTATGCTAATATACGTACCTGGTACAGATCTGTAGTACCTGATACGCAAACGACCCTCGCTTCAATAAACGTGTACCGTGGCGTACGTTAAAATGTAGCGGTCGCCAAATCGGGAGCATTGACCTGTTACATGGAATAGTGAGAAAGGGGGAGGAGCAGAGAGAGAGAGAGGAGAGACGGACGAGAAGAGAGAGAGAGAGAGAAAGAGGAGAAGAGAGAGAGAAGAGACAGGATAAGAGAGAGCGAGGTGAGAGACGAGAGAGAGAGAGAGAGAGAAGAAGAGAGAGAGAGGGAGGAGGAGAGAGAGAGAGAGAAAAAGCGAGGAGAGAGAGAGCAGAAGAGAGAGAGAGAGAGGAGAGAGAGAGGGCCGACCCGGTCTGTTGCTGTCTACACAGAAGAAGGATTTGTGTATATTGACCTACTCGCAAAGAACATTGGTGAAAACGGAATTCCTGCGCCATACGCTCGCATCCTGGTTTCGAACGTAAGCCTCGGATGGTACGGCTAATGCCTACTACGGATGAAGCGAAATGCCAATCAATTTAACGCTAGAGTCGTGTGAGCAATGACGAGCCGGACGTTTCTCAGGGTGCTATGACTAAATTTGAAATGTAGTCGGAGGGTGGTATTTGAGCACTTTTGAAGTAAATGTACTACAGCTCTCATTCTGACTACGACAATTATCATTTTAGAGAAACTTTCTCTTCGAATGGGGCCAACAAGATCGTGATTCACTAAGTCACTAACTAATCATGGAATTTTGTTTTATTATCAAGCCTTAACGCACATTCTTAAGTTCTCTTTCTGGCTCTTCTCTCTCTCTCGTCTCTCTCTCTCTCTCGCTCTTCTCTCGCTGGCGCTGCGTGCGTCGTGTGCGTGCGTGCGTGCGTGCGAGCGATGCGTAATGGTTGTGCGGATGCGTGTGGGCGCGGAGCGTGCTCAAACACACACATCACTCATTGCACATCACATCACATCAACGGCAGTGGTAAGTCGGCCGTTCAGTATTTCAACGGCTGTTGCCGGTGAACCACCGCTGGGGATGAGTGCGACAGCCAACCTCGTTCTTGGAATTGCTGAAAAGCGGGGCAAAAGGGTGAATAACCGTTGCTTTGCCACTAAATTAGGAATATAACTATGCATGCAGGTGAGTTTTGTCATAGAGATAGCAAGAACGGCGTGCGGCGTGCGTTCAGAGTTTGGGCACAATTAGCCGTCGACTACGGTCACGATATTCGGGACGGCGGGGGGGGGGGATCATGAAAGGATCGGATGACAAATTTAGGGGTCAAGGGTCAAAGGTCAAGATGTAGTAACGGAGGGGAAAATTAATTTCTTTTACTTAAGGTATTATAGCGGGAAGACGGCAATTGCGGCCACAAAGCTTAACGGCTCGTCGAAGCCTATGCCTCGTTATTCGGGCGGTATATAGTGTGATGGGCGAGGCGAAACCCAACACCAGTGGCGAAATTGGAGGTCACA